GAGCTCCAACTCCAGTGGCCTCCATCCCCTGTCCCAACGTCATCATGTCTGCCCGTTCTGGATCTCTTGAGCCGGTACGTGCCTGTGCCCCCCACCCCACTCTTCCGATGGCCGTGGGTGGAATTCTGAGATGACGGGAGGCCTCGAAACCAGCCCTTTTTGCTCACATTCTAAACGCCTCCGCGTAGACGCTCAACCGCGAGTTTGAGCTCGATCAGCAGGGTCGCATCTTCGCCGAGTACATCTGGATTGGTGGCAATGGCCGTGACCTTCGCTGCAAGACCAAGGTGCTGGACAAGATGCCCAAGTCGGTCGACGATCTCCCCATCTGGAACTACGACGGCTCCTCCACCGGCCAAGCCCCCGGTCACGACTCTGAGGTCCTCATCAAGCCCGTTGCCATGTACAAGGACCCTTTCCGCGGTGGCAACAACATCCTCGTCCTGACCGCCACTTACACCCCCAACGACGATGGCTCGATGCGCCCCTTGACCGTCGTTGAGGATCTGGCCTCCGTCAACGGTGTCAGCGGTAACAACACCCGCGATGCCGCCGCCGCCATCTTCGCTGACCCCAAGGTTGCTGAGCAGGAGCTGTGGTACGGTATCGAGCAGGAGTACACCCTCTTCGAGGCTGACAAGGTCACCCCCCTCGGCTGGCCCAAGAACGGCTACCCCGCCCCTCAGGGCCCCTACTACTGCTCGGCCGGTACCGAGAACGCCTTTGGCCGCGATATTGCCGAGGCTCACATGCGTGCCTGCGTCTACGCTGGCATTAACATCTCGGGCATCAACGCCGAGGTCATGGCTGGCCAGTGGGAGTACCAGGTTGGCCCCTGCGAGGGCATTGCCGCTGGTGATCAGCTCATTGTCTCCCGCTACATCATGTACCGCGTCTGCGAGAAGTACAACGTTGTCGTCTCGTTCGAGCCCAAGCCCATGAAGGGCGACTGGAACGGTGCCGGTTGCCACACCAACTTTTCCACCAAGGACTTCCGTGACAAGGACCTCCAGTTCTCCTACACTCCCGTCGATGGCCCCTTCAAGGGCAAGGAGCAGAAGGGTGCCTTTGGCAAGATGATCGAGGCTCTTGAGAAGATGGGCCAAGTTGCCAAGGAACACATTCAGCTGTACGGTGCTGATAACCACCTCCGTCTCACGGGCAAGCACGAGACGGCCGACATGGACTCGTGGAGCTACGGCGTTGCCAACCGCGGCGCCTCCATCCGCATCCCTCGCCAGACCTTCCACCAAGGTTACGGCTACCTTGAGGACCGCCGCCCCGCTAGCAACATGGACCCCTATGTTGTCACCTCCAAGTTGGCCAAGACCATCCTTCTCTAAGCATCTTTCATTTTGCGCCCGCGGCGCGACTTGTGCGTGTGAATGAATGCTACGGCGCGATGATTTTTTCTTCCAGCCAACATTTTGCATGACTTCTTCTTTTTTTTTCTTTTTTGTTAAAGTGGTTTTGTCGTTGACCATGTTCCTTCTTCTGGTAAGAAGAAGTGGTCCCGTTGCTCATTGCGCACACGTTCTACGTGCGTTCTTTGGTCATTGCGAATGGAGAGGATGAAGCTCCACATATATCTCGACTTTGTCTTCCCTACTCATTGTTCTGATTCGATAGGATGTCTGTCTTTTGATTACGTTGCGTGCTGTTTTGCTCCTGACACATCAGCAAAAAAGCTCAATTTCTGCAGCAATCAAATTTATCATGGAATATAAAGCCTTCTTCGACATCAATCACACACACGCACAAATGATGATTTTTACACAAAACGTTCCTCAGTCAGGTCCTGGAGATGAGAGACGTGAAATATGACACTCGATAAGATCTCAACTTTGGACACTGTTCACAACTTTTTTATGCTACACACACCACACACACACACATTTGCTATTTGACTTTGATCAGCTGTGACAACAAGATCAAGTGACACACTCCCTGGTGATGTCATCAAAAAAACAGGCAAGCACTCGCTCATAGATCGACGGCAAACTTGCCACCTCAGCTCAGCGAGCTGCCAAAGTACGCTGTGAGATGGAACTCAAACGCTTGACCGTACTCATCATGCTTTCAAAGGATGCCTCAAGATGCTGCAAGCGTCGCAACGCATCCTCAATCCCTGCCATGGTAACATCATCAACCACCAGCAAGTTGGTTCGCTCCGAAATCCACTTTTCCAACTGCACCAAACCCCCCAAGCAAGCCGCGGCGCCATGAAACCAACTATGAGCTCAGCAAGCCAGGCACAACGCACATGACCTGTAAACAATGCAAGAAAGCCAGTCAGGACGAGCAATCTTACCAGTTCCATTTGCTTGCGCGTCTCAATGAGCTGTCCAAACCGCTCTGCCGCTGAACTGAGCTCATCCAGCTGAGCGAGTAGAGCTCGCAGTTGCGGCTTGACGTTAATGTCGCGGAGCAGCAACTGCAGGTCCTGCTTGGGCAAGTGCGCACTCTGCTGATACAAACGAGCTCCAGCTGCCTGCAGCTCCGTAAAGCTGCTTTGCAGCTCGGCGGCACGCTTACGACATCCCGCCAATGTCTCCTCACCCTGATGAAGAGCCGCCTCTAGCTTCTGGACTTCAGCGTGCAGCACCAAGCTCTCCAACTGTCCAAAGGCCTCGCAACCCAAGGTCTGCTGCATTTGTACTTCCCGTTGCACGTGCCTGGCCTGGCCTTGCAGCTGCTGAAAGACAGCCAGCTCACTCAAGCGATCGCGCGATCGCGTCAAGCGGCTGGCCAGTCCACTTGACGTCGCACGCAGCTGCGTGAGCTGCAAGGTCAACAAATGACGGTGTCGCGAATGTTGTGCCGCCAATTGTTCAGCCGCGGCGCAAAACTCGGCGCTTTGCCGTTCAATGCCCTCAATGTCAACGCTGAGCAATCGCACGTGCAACTCAAGTGCAGCCGTTTCTCGCTGCTCGCTCAACATTGCCAACTTGGTCGACACCAGCTTTTGCAGCGTTTCCATGTCCCACAGCAGTGTGTGCACGGTTCGGTTGGCCTCAAAGTCGTTCGTCAGCTGAGCCAGCTTGTCTCTGAGAGCAGCAAATTTGCTCTTCATTTTTGCAAACAATTGCTGCGGCGAAAAACTGGCGTCTAGGTGAGCCGGTGCGCTCAGCTGCGCATTGGCATTGGCCATGCCGTCAAGCTCTGCCTCACGCGCATCCAGCTCTGACTGCAGCTTGCCCACTTCAGCCAGCACAAGCTCGTCTGCCTGCTCGTCTCGACATTGCAAGGCCTGTTGCGCCAAGGCGTGCGTGGTCCGCATGGCCGTCGCCATCCAGCTGTTGGTCTCATTCAGATCGCGCTGCAGCGCGTTGTAATCCAACACGCCTTGAAGTCGGACGCACCTATCCTGAGTCGTCCTGATGCCTTGCTCGATATCCTCACGTCCACGGCGCAAGCGATCCACGAGCGTGCTATTCAGCTCCCCTTCTTTATTCAACGCCTCCAGCTCCACGCTGAGACTCTCCAACTGTTGCAGCTGCTGCTGTTGTGCCTTGAGCATTTTGCGCGTTGTCTCGTCCTGGTATAGGCCTGCCGCCGTATCACGCTGCTCTCGACCCGCCTACAAGCAGGGCAGGTTCAACAGTGTTGTTAATGTTGATGTTGTTGGAGGCACGTAAGAGGGAGAAGCAACAACGCAAAATCAGATGGACGTCTTAAAGCTAGCTCATGTTGCAATGTCGATGCTTCATTTCACACTCCCTCCAAGTTGCCTCCATCGCCCCAAACATCCCCGAAAAGACCAACACACACACACACACACACACACACACACATTCATTGGAACATCAAGACCAGTTGCTTCACAATCATCATACCTGAAGTAGCGCAAAGCTGGTTTCGATCACCTCCAGGCGCTCTACTACCAAGTGTTGGCGCTGCAACGCCTCCAAATGAGACGGAAGCCGCCCTTGCAAATTCAGCAGGACAGACCACTGCCGCTGAACCTGATGACGCAGCTCCGCCATGCTTGAGACGTTTTGAAAAGCCCACTGCAGTGACTGCAATGCCTCGGCACTAGCTTCCAACGCAGTAACCTGCTCTGCGCGTTCATCCACCTCACGCAAGAATTGTGCCAATTTGCGCGTGGATTTTGCTGGGTGAAACGCTTCAAAATGAAGATCGCTCAAACTCGTACCCGTTGCAAGCAAGAGCTCCAAGGCACGCGCTTGAGCAGTCGCCTCTTCCTGCCAAGCCAAGTACCGCTTCCACAATGAGATGTTGCTCTCGGCTTCATCCATCGCACTCTCAACAGCCGCGCGCAATGATTGTACGCGCTCCAAATGCTCAGTAAACCGAGCGTGCTCAGACGACGATGCTAGCTCATTGGCCCGGTGCACAAGCTCATGATACCGAAGCTGCAAGGTATACAGCTGGCGGCGCTTCAGGTCCAGCTCCAAACGATCAGCCTTTGCATCACCCATCAAGCTGGCCAGTCCCTCTAACAACCAGGTCAAGCTTGCCTCGACTTCCTCAATCTGGCCAGCAACGCGCCCATCCGCAATGCGTTGTGTAATAAATGCCTGCTGCACCATGGCTTGGTTGCCAAGATCTGCTTGTCGTCCCCTAATCACCTCGATCTGTGTCACCAAGGCAGCCTGGTCTTGCAATTCGTTCGTGTTGGCCTGGCTTGCAAGTGTGTTCAGCACGCCATCCATCTCCAAAAGCTCGACCTGTGCAATACGCACACGCTTGAGTAATTGTTGGAGCGCATCACTGTTCTGCCCACCAAGCAGCAGCGCTTGCTCCTCAATCTGCTCAGCCAGCTCATGTTGACGACCGGATAGGTGGTCAAGCTGGAGTTGGGCTGCCGCCGTTGCCTCCCGGCCTCGCAAGTCTGTGATAGCCGCATCAAGACGGTTCAAGGCCTCCTGCCAGCGAAGCCCCAAGTACGCTGGATCAAAAGCTGGGGGAGAGAAAAAGATAGTGGCTTGTGCTAGTGAGGCAGTGGCATCAACAATGCCCTGTGCATGGGCTGCCAGTTCATCCACTGCTGGGCGTAGCTTGGTCAGGTTACTACGGGAATACTCCAGAGTCTCTCGCTGTTGCACAATATCATCCCGTAACACAGCCATGGCGTCCTCATCCAAGTGTTGCTCATGCACCACAATCGCACGTAGCAGGTCGTCTTGCACCGCCTGACACTCGAACATAGCCGTACACCGTTGTAGCTCCTCCCCAGCGCCAGCAACCTGATGCAAAAAGCCCTTGGCCTCCTCAGCAAGTGTTGTGCGCCGGGCCTCAAGCTCGGCAGTAAGCTGTTGCCCTTGTTGTTGGACCAAGCGGGCCATGAGAGCCTGCACCTGCTGCTCGCGCTGCTCCAGAGTTGCATGCAATTGCATGCAATCCGAGAGGTTCTCTGGCGGTGCAAGAGCTTGGAGCGCCGCCTGTGCGGTGGATAAACGTCGTGCCTCCGCGTCAAGCCGAGAAGAGGCCATCCCTTGATAAGCCAGCTCAGCCAACTGGCGTTCGTGAGTGAGCCCTCGTTCCGCCACAGTGCTGGTTCGCTGAAGAAGCGCAGTAAGGTAAGGCTCCATCCGAGGGCCGATTACAGCCCAGTACTGGTCATCCGACGGCACAATCTGATGTTGCAACTCCTCAATGTATCCTTGCAAAAGCTGTACGGCTTGTCGATCCGCCTCCAGTCGTTTCTCGGCGCGTCGAATGACAGGCAGCTCCAAGCCTAGTTGCTGCTGGTCCCAATTCAAACTATGGCTCTCCAGGACGTCAAGCTGACGTTGAAAGGCTAAACATGACTCAAGCACCTGGCGAGTGGTCTCAGCAGCCCGGCTCCATCCCTCCAGCTGTCCAATCTGCTCCAACTCAGCCGGCGCTGGAAACCCAGTCGCAGCAGAATTCGACGGGGTGGCAAGCTGCTCAAAAAGCGTGTCCAGTTCGCCTACTTTGCTACCCAGCTCGCTTCGACGTCGCAAAAGAACGTCGTCCTGCGGTTCGCTCAGGCGACGGGCCTCCCGCTCTGCCTCCACCTGCAGCTGGCCGCTGGCCGCATCCACAGCCATCTGCAGCGTCTGAGCTTCATGTCGCAATGCCTGCGCCCGCTCTTGCAAACGCTTGCAAATCCCCTTGGTCTCATCCATGTCTGCTTGACGAGTCGACAAAAGCCTCTCAATCTGCGTAGAGCCCTCATCCATTTTCTGAGCGCGTATCTTGAGATGAGAGAGCATCAGTGCGTTGGGATGGGCTTCGAGGTCACTTCGAATACCAGCAACTTGCGCCGCTAAAGCATCGAGCGCACCCTCGTGCTGATCCAACTCCTGGCATTGTTTCCATGCCACAAGCAGCCGCTGAATTTTCCCTTGAACTGCTTGCAAATCTGTCGTCAGTCTGGTCAGGACGTCACTCAACTCTTGCTGCTGAGGTGAACGGGATAGCTCGCCATTCGATCGCAATCGACGAATCTAACAGAACAGTTTGCGAGCAGAGAATGGTCGAAATATCAGGTTGGGCAGGCATGACCATGTGCCCCATTTTGCCAGACGTTTGTTTCTAACGTGGCCACACGAGTCAGTGATCACGAAAACAAAACAAAAAACAAAAAACAAAAAGACTCACTTGCGCTGTTTGTGATGACACTGATTTGAGCCGCGCTTGCAATTGTAGAAGCTGTATTTGTGTCCGGGGTGGTGGAAAGCTTGGTTGTCCAAAGTGGAGAGCCATGTCTTGCACACTGCGTTGACAATCCTTCAAAGCAGCGTGAAGGAAGCGTGCCTGTAAAACTTGTGACTCCAGCGCCTGCGTATCGTTGGCCAAGGCCCGAGCATCCGAGAGCACACTGTCGCACAGCTTGGTTTGGCGCTCCAAGGAGGAGCAGTCGCCCTTGAGTTTGGCATGTAATGCGGAGCCCCGGGCTGTGCCCTCGTCGTCCAAGTGGCGCAGCATATCCCGGGACTGTTGCAGAAGATCGGTGGCCTTGAGCTTGAGCACTGAAAGATTAGCAGAGTAGAGGTTCAGTTTCACTTGGACATGTTGTGAAACGTTGACCTCAGACTCGTTGCTGCTCTGCAACACCGCAGTCGAGGTGGCGAGTTGTTGGTTCACATCTCGACATTGCACGGCAAGGCCATCCAAGGCCATTAAAGTATCGTGATTGGCATCTAAAAGGCGGCGGATCGCAAGAGCCTGTTCCAATTTATGGCGACGTGTGACCAGGGTGACCTGCAATGTCTGCCACTCTTCGGCGATGGCACGCATCTGCGATTGAAGACCAGCGTCATGCTCCAACAAAGGAAATGCCGCCAGTTGATCAAACCGTTCTTGGCGTGCTGCAACATCTGCCTCAATAGCCTCCTGACGCTGCCGACTTTGACGCAGCTCGTCCATCGAGTCGCCAAAGGGTGAGGCGTCCAGCAGGTGCAGATAACCCCGAGTCCAGTCCCTCTGCAAGATGAGTTTGCGGGAAAACTTGGCCACCATATCTTCGTGTGACTGCAGCTCAATGCTCAACTGCTTTATGTGTTCTTGGTGCGCCTGCTCCTCCAGTGCCAGGTCCTGCCAAAGCTCCTGGGCCGCGGTCAGCAGTAGCGCGGCCGGGGGCTTGAAAGTCGGGAGTTTATTGTTTCGGCGCATCGACTGAAGCTCGAATAAAACAGCCTGCATGCGGTTGTACTGATGAGTTGCTTGTGGTTTGTCTGATGTATAATAGTGGTGCAACTGATTGGTCAGCAGGTGGCGTAGCTCGCCCGTCGTGCGCGGTTCGCCGAGTTCCTGAAACCAGAGAAGTTTCGCCTTGATCCAACTTGTTGTGCGGAACGCGACCTCCAAGTATTCGTCCTGCAAGGCCTCAAGACGCATGGCCAAGTCCACGCTGGCTACAATAGCATCACTAGGCAACCCCAGCGGCGCAGATTGCAGCTGCATGTTGAACGCCTCAAAGGACATTGCAAGCAGCATGACCATGGCCCGACCATCCCGAAAAATAGCATCGCGACTGGAACGGAGGTCGACACCAAGAAGTCGATAGAGGCGAGTGAGAGGCTCGTGTTGTTTCTCGGCAGCCAACGCTGAAGTGCCAATACGCGCCAGCTGTTGAGCCAGGCTATCACATAATAAGTCCAAGGCATGAACCAGCTCGTGGGAGCCAAACGTGTCGACCAGGGGGGCGTGCTCGTCCACAAGGAGGATTTGTTGATTCAGCCAGACCAAAATTTCTTCGAGCGGATCCGCTTGCGGAGCAATACCGCGCATGCCATACAGCTGTCAAGCGGGAGCGATAAGAGAGAGTGTGAGTAAGTGAAAAATGCTCTTGACCAACTGGTCGGCGTGCGCACGCATTAGGTCGTACCACAAAGTTGGCGAATAGAAAGTACGCAAAGAGGGCACCCTTGGTTTGGCTAGGACTGATGAACCACTTGCTTTCAAATTGCTCGACTGGCAATGCATCATACTGACGCAAGTGGTCCAGCAGACGCTGCCAAAACAACGAGGTGTCTTCCTCATCCAGCCACCGTGTATCGAGGGGTGCAGCACTGTATGTGGCGACAATGCAGGCTACATTGCTGGGTTCTAGTAGAGGCTCAGCAAGACGATCCTGAACCGCACAGCCATGTGCACGATACCAG